GGGGGGGGCATTTACCTCAATCAGCTTAGGATTCAAGTGTCAAGACCACTGAATGTTTTAAAATAAATTCTCATTTCTTTTCATTTCTTTTGGGATATACCGTAACTCAGATTGAAGTATGAGGCACCGCCACACCCAGGCCCTGTCAGAATACCCGCCACATCCTGCCTCCGGGTCAGACGGAAAAGGTCTTGTGAGCCTGGCAATACCCAGGTGCTGAGCGATTCCCAAACGCAGAGCAGAGGGAACCATGCCTACCCCTGAGCCAAATGGTCAGGAACACGTGGAACAAACTTGTTCTTCTGAAGATGCCCCTTTGCCTAAACCCTCCTGGGACTTTTACCAGGATGAGGAATGTGAGCCGTAGAGAACAAAGGGCTAGTCTGACGCAGGTGCGCACACGGGAGCTGTGTGTGTGAGATCTAAGGCTTCCACTGCCTGCGATGCAGTGATGGTCATGGGCGCAGCGGGAGAGAAAACTGTGCTGAGCGGCAGCTCTGGCCTGGCGGTGAGGCCAGGAGGCCCCTGCAGGTGGGGTTGGGGGGTGGACAAGGCTTGAGCAGTACCTGCATACTGAGGACTCTCAGGTTGGAGAGTGCGTCCAGGTTCTGAAGTTTAGTGATCTTGTTTTTCCCCAAAAACAAACTGTCCAGACTGGTTAATGTGTCGATATTTTCAATGGCCTGTGAAAAGGGCAGAGCATCAGTTGGCACGCGGGCCGCCTGCTTCCCCGGGGGAACAGTGCTCTCTGGACTTGGCCCTGAGTGTCAGGCAAGTTACTGTCTCACTCTGGGAATGTTCCAGTGAAATCTTACTTGAAAGCACAGAATGAAAAATACCGAGGACAGGGAAGGGTCCGAGGCCTGTCTCTTGGGTTTACTCTCAACCTCCCTCCGTGGACCAGTTCTGGGGTTCTGAGCAGATGCTCCCCTGCTGGTCTGCGTGGGGTTACAGTGCATCTGTCGGCCTTGGTCTCCCCACAAGCGAGCCCCAGCAGGGCCTGGCGGTGCCCCTCTTCCTCGCCCCCCTTTCCTCATCTTCCCCGCAGTGGTGCTGAGCACTGAGCTCCGGGCACAGCAGGGTTAATGAAGCTGCACCGACTAGATCTGTCTCCCTCCTCAGCACGGCGGGAACCCCGCAAGTGCACGAGGTGCAGCTTCTCTGCCCATTGAGGCAGGACTTGGCTGGGGCCTGTGGGGATGGAGCCTCGGGGAGATACCCTTAACTGCTACCGCCTGCGCTAATTTGTGACAAGCCACCTTCTCCTGGAACGTGCCACAGAGACACTTAATAAAACACTGACATGGCTACTCTCTGGTTTTAAACGTGAGGCTTTGCTGTCTGCTGCCACATTACCGCCAACAGTGTCTGTCACAAGAGGCCCTCACCACAACCACCTCTTTGGTTTGTGTCCTGCCCAGCTCTCAAGGGCCAAGCCAGACCGACAGCCATCTGCTGTAAACTCCCAAAAGCCACATGAAGGGCTGCTTCCCACAGGGAAGGAGGGGAGATGTGCTCAAAGACACCTGAGCTGGCTGCTCAGAAAGGCCAGTGGGAGCAGAGGCATGGCCCTCGGCCTCGCTGGGATGTCAGTGGAACGAAGGACCTCTGGTTGGCACTGGCCTCATCTCTGTCTGGGGAAGCCTCTCTCTTCTTTGCTGGCTGCTTCCCCCTGATGGCTGTCTTCCTGTGACCCCTCCCAGGCCCCCTCCCCGAGCTCTTCCAGGTGGCTGTATCAGCTGGGTCAGGACTCCATCTGCTTCCATGGAACCAGACCCTTCCCCCCAGTCTCTCATCCCACTGCAGTCTGATGCTTCCCAGGCTTCCTGTGCCCCAGTGGAGTCAGGCCACTGTTGGCCCCTCTGCTCAATACATGGTCATGTCAGGCAGGCTCCCCCAGAAACACAACCATCCGCACATTTAGAAGCCAAGTGTTTGGGGCTGACCAGTTTGCCTCAGGCAGAACATGATTGGGATGGTTTGCTGAGAGTTTAGCAGTGATTGGGAGGGAGAGCAAGTGAGCCTAAGTGCAGCAGGCTTGTCTGCTCCATCTGGGCACACTCTTACTAACACTGATCCCACTTAGTATTTAAAAAACCCACAAAACTTCTGTTTCTGGAAAAAGTAAATACATAAAATCACACCATATGGAAAATACACTTCCTGTCCCCCGGACGTGCCCACACCTACCCGGATGCGGTTGGACCCCAGCTCCAGCATCTCCAGTTGATGTAAGTTGCTCAAGTTCTCAATTTTATTGATTTTATTGTTGACCAAGAAGAGTTTTTTCAGTTGTGTCAACTTGTCCACCCCTTCGATGTTTCTCAGTAGGTTAAAGGAAATATCTAGAATCCTGGAACGAACAAAACATTCATTTTTTAATGTGCACAGGCTACATAGAACTCAGAATATACCTGCCTCAGGGCGGCATCCCACCCAGGAGCATCCTCCAGGGCCCCCAGTGCCCAGCTCCTAGGGGCTGCACTGGGGGCAGAGACCATGCCATTCCCGGCTGGACCAGCCAGCAGCCTCCACCCAAAGGCTTATGTGCAGGTTGGGACCAGGCAAGCTGATGCCACCTATGGAGCCAGGTGCGAGCAGGACCCAATGGCAGAGGTGGCCTCTCCAGGGCTAAGCCAGGGCACAGACTGGTTCTGGGGACACAGGTCAGGCCCTTGGCCATCCCTGGGGCTCAGGACTCACTCCAGCTCTGTCAGTGTGTCCAGATTCTCAATCTTCTTGATCTGGTTGTCATACAGGTCGAGCTCTCGGAGACTGTTCAGTTCCTCCAGGTTCTCAATACACTTGATTAGATTCTGACGGAGGCAGAGTGTCTGGGGGTGGAAAAAGGACACTTGACACAGGCAACACGCAGGGAGGTCATGCAAAAGCCTTGTGGGGGGATGTGGTTTTCCTCCCGTTGTTGTCTGGAAAGGGGCTGGCATGGGGAGGATGGCAGGCACACACGGGAGGCTCAGGCAGGCCATTCTGAACAGACCTACTAGGTGAGGGAGGCCTTGGTCAGTTTGGGGTGTGTACTATTTCCTGGCAGAGCAAACCCTTGGGTTCAGTTTTGAAAAACAGATTTAACTCAGGCGAGTTCAGGACTGTGGTCTGGTGTAGGCTCAGCTGCAGGCCCTGAACTGAGGCTCTAGGAGCAGGGGTGGGTCAGAGCTGCGGCCTGAACTTGGCTGAGTCACAGACACCTGCACTGCTCTGCGAACCTGCCGTGTTCAAGTCAAAGCAGATGTAGGTGGCACCTCCTGTGGGACTGTGCCTGCCTCAGAACTGCTTCTCAGTTATGGATTTACCTATCCTGAAGGTGGGACGAGCTCTGGACTGCCACAAGGTCACCTCATGTGAAAGTACAGACCTCTCACCTTCACTTTCTTTAGAACCTCAAATCCTTCAATTTTTCCAATGCGATAGTGATTCAGGTCAACATCCTGAAACAGAAAAGAAACTGAGCTTAGCTGAGGGAAGTGCCTGAAGCCCTGTTTCCTACAACAGGAGCTGAAAGGAGGCCTGCTAGGTGGTGGAGGGGAGAGTGAGGGAGAATCGTTGAGGCATTGCCACAAGGGAGTCTACAGCAGACAGGTGATAGGGACATGGAGGTGAACTTCAAGATGCTTGTGGGTTTAGCTATGATTTATCGTAGTTTTATGTAAAACTAAGCCTCCAAGTGCACGGTATGTAAAGTCTTCCTCTCAGCCCCTAGTGCCTTTGAGCACACCACAAGCTGCAAGGAGGATCACCTACCAGGGCACCACTAGAGGCTCTGTGGTTGATTATTATGCACAGGTGGTCTGCTTTCTCAGTCTTCCACAAGCCCTGGATTGTGGCTGCTTTTCAGTTGGGGATGTTAGGACCCCACATTTACAATGCAAACATTAGACCCATTGGTTTATGAGTTAAAGGCCACTACAGTTAAACAGAAATGGGATTTTAATCACTATTAAAAACAATAGGAACCCAAGGGATCTGACCCACAAAGGGAGGCTTGGACAACCTCCCCTAGGGGATGCTTACTAATCTGGCACCTCCAAAAAAGATAACCTGACATGAGAGTGTCCATCACTCTGCCCTGAGGCTGGGTTGAGCAGGCGGCATTACCTCTGCATCTCTGTCCAGGGTAATGGTCTCCATATCCACAGGCAGCTCTTGTCCTAAAAAAGTAAGAGGAAAGAGCCCACTCAGAGCCTCCATGGCAGGAGGCAGCAGTTGGCCTCATGAAGAGCTTGCAGGTAGGCTGCCTGGCTCAGAATGGACGCAGAGGAGACATCAGCAGGTGATACCTGGAGGATCTGAATGGCAGGAGAGCCAAGTAACACTCGGTGTCAGCTGTGGTCACCTTTCTAGTTTCCGGAATTGTTTCCAAACTCCCATCTGCACCACAGAGTGTCCCAAGAAAGGAAATGTGGTCTGAGGCTGGCCACCCACCTACCACTTCTGGTGACACCCAGAGCTGCGTAACTGGCAGCAGGCCCCTCCCCTCCCCCCCCGTTTGTGGCAATAAATCAAGCCATTTGACTATAGACTGCGCTGGGCATATCAGATGTTCTAGGATGTACTTTTTATTGCTTTGGAAAGTGGCCCAGCATCTATGAGGCATGGCTCAGCAGATAGGATCAGCCCTGCTTAAAAATTTAAACACACTTCTCGACTGGGAGGCCAGGAGCTGATCCCAGCAGACGACCCTCACCCTGCAACCGGGCTTTAGACTCCTGGGACCTCAGGTGCCCGAGGAGGGTTGCAAGAACCACTCTTGCTGTGGAGTTCACACCTCGAATTAGCAGCCCCCCACCCCATCTTCATTTCACCTGAACCTATCTAAACATTTATGTTTAAAAGGGTTAAACTCTTAAAAAGAATAACAGTAGTTCCTTGATTTCACCAACTGTCTTATGCTGTCTTCTCCCACTGAGTGAGTTCTGCCTGAATTAGGATCCAAAGGTCACATATTGGCTAGAGGGCATTTCTCTAAGGACCCTCTCTGCTCCCTCATGTTCTGTTGGAGAAGCTGGCTCCTGTCTCACGGAGCTTCTCCAGGTCGAAGTGAGTGCCTGCCGTTGTGTCTGCTTCCTGTGAACTGGCTGTTACCAGCTTGCCTGGCTCCCACTGTTGCCCCTTCCCTACAGCAGAACTACGCCCACCTCTGCAGTGCAGCGAGTTTGTGGCCCATCTCCCGAGGTAAGCCTGGGCCCTGGACTGCAGGCCTCAGGGGGTGCACCTGACACAGGACCAGTTTTATTGGGAAGCACCAGCTGAGTTCACTTACTAGTTTTTTCACTATATCTTTTCCATAATGACTGATTGAGGCTAAATTAAAAAAATGTCATTTACAGTTTATCCATAACTTTATGGGATATCACCAACCTAAGAATTAAATATAAGAAGCTAGGCAAAACTGAGAGAGGTACCCAAGTTACCGGCCCCTCCTCCAAGACAGCCTACATTCACCGTTAGGACCTAGGATGCTGCAGTGAGAGACGCTATGCAGTAGAGGCTGGGCACCCGGTCACTCAGTGTCCCAACCAGGACACTTCATAGTAGAAAGGGCACCACAGACAATCATGCTGGGCCAGCAGGTGGAAACTAGGGCTTTCCGGCTCCTCAGAACACGTGGTTACCCGGCTTAAAGGGGTTCTGTCTGTAATCCATCCAGCAGAGGACAGGCCCCCAAAAGGTCAGCTTAACCTTTGAAACAGTTACTAGCCTAGACAGTGTCTTGTGATATCTTAGGGAAAATAAGTAAAAGGGAACAGCTGACATGTTTGAATTTGTTTTATTTGAATTAAGACTTAAATACAGGTAGGAGCAAGTCCTGCTTTCTCTAAGGACTCACAAAAATGTTTATTCCCCACAAACTTCTAATCAGCTAGTTATCTGGAGGAAGGGATGCTGGGGTTAGATAACCAGGTTCAAATCTAGCTCTTCCACTCTGGGACTGTGTGCCCTTGGGCGCACTGTAGTGAGCCTGTGTTCACCAGCTAGGCAGAGGAAGCCCACACAGAGCTCGGTCACCTCTCCAGTCCAGCACAAGCAGCGGTGTTCATGCGTCAGGACAGGTGATGCTCCCCCTGCTTGGCTTCTCAGGCCTCAGTCAGACGGCACTGAAAGCTTTCACCGTCACTCCCGTGTACTTATCCCACCCCCGTCACCTCCAGAATATCAACTACAGTTCTAAAATGTGACAGGTACTCTTGTGGTAATCTCCTTAGCTTTAAAATTAGGTTGCCATAGTTACCAATCATCACTGGCACAGAGAGCACAATGCTGTTTTAAAAATTTGTTTTGGCCCGGCCGGGCGTGGTTCAGCGGTTGAGCATTGACCTAGGATCCAGGAAATCGTGGTTTGATTCCTGGTCAGGGCACATGCCTGGGTTGTGGGCTCAGTCCCCAGTCGGGGGCATGCAGGAGGCAGCCGATTAATGACGACTCTCTCATCACTGATGTTTCTATCTCTTCCCCTCCTTCTCCCTTCCTCTCTGAAATCAATAAAGATATATTAAAAAAAAAAAGATATATTTAAAAAAAGTTATTTTGGTTGTTATAAATTTTTGTTTTTATTATTAGAAAGATAATGTATGATCACTACCTTAAACATCCATACATTGTACATCAACCTAGAAAATGCAAAAAGTACAAGGCCCTCACCAACCTGCTGTTCAGAGGTCAACAACCTTCAATAACAGCTCGATATGTTTTCTTCCTTGAGTAGGTAAAACCACACACTATTAATAGTCTTTAAATAAAAACAAGATCTTAACATGAATGCTGTTTGGGGCTTTTTCCACCTAATACTATATCTTGGACAGCTCTCTGTCTGTTCATATAGTTTCTACTCTCATTCTTTTCAATGTAAATCGATTTCCTAAGCCACAAGCAAATGGGCTAAGATCATTGCTGGAGTGAGAAACCTACCATCACATGCTGAGGACTGGCCTCTTGTATCCGGGTTCACACTGCTGTTCCTCTTATTCACTAATACCACATGAGGCCACTGGGACATTTTCCACATAAATGGATTTTCCTAATACCCAGGAAGAAGCCCACCCTCAGGCCTGGTTCCCTGAGACATTACAGTGCTATTCTGAGAGCCATGTGTGACTGCGGTAGGAATTCAAAGCACAGGAATCAGCCCGGCTGGTGTAGCTCAGTGGCTGAATTTCGACCTAGGAACCAGGAGGTCACAGTTTGATTCCAGGTCAGGGCACATGCCTGGGTTCATGGCTTGATCCCCAGCAGGTGGCATGCAGGAGGCAGCCGATCAGTGACTTTCTCATCATTGATGTTTCTATCTCTCATTCCCTTTCCTTTCCTTTCTCTGAAATCAATAAAACATTTTAAAAAGAAAAAGAAAAAAGCATAGTAGTCAGCCATAATGTTTATTGCAAATCTCACTTTCTGATCATATGGTTAATAAAACAATTTTCTGGTTCTGCCCCAGGTGACACACTAGTACCAATATCATCAACAGTATTTGCCTTCAGTGTAATTAGAAAAATGGCACCCTGCCTGCAGGTGCCGTCAGAGCCAGCTGGCTAGGGGGGCATCTCCGAGGGGCCCTGCTCCCAGCCCACCGAGGGCCTCTGTGGCTGCACTAGCAGACCAGCACCCAGCACAGTGGTCTTCCCCAGGATGACACATGCCGCCACCTTGGGAAGGGGGACAGGTCATGTGCAGCATTGCTTGCACCCACCCTTGCAGTGACCAAGGTTCTTAACTGGGCCTGATACCTTCTGGTTCTTCCTCCCTCCGCTCCTCTCCATCCTTCAGGCTGTGCTCGCTGTGGTCTGCCACTATACCGCTGCTCTGCTTTTTCCCTTCCTCGTCGCCCGATTCTTCAGACTCGACCCGCCTGTCAACTGAATGCACACAGATCAGTGAGAATTCCCATCCACCTCATGTTCTCTTTGAAGTACATATAAGAGACTGGCATCCAGTTGTAAGTCAAAAACTTCACTTAGAAACATTTGTTGAATTCGGTTCAATGAACATTTGAGTGTCTTCCGTGTCCCAGGCACCATCTGCACAGTGGCAGGGAGAACTGGGGATGGGGCGGGGAGGGGGCAGGGAGGCGACACGGGCATGAAGGTGAGTATCTCACGGTTCCTGCCCTCAAGGAACTCGTGAAGAGTCGCCAGGTGTTCTGAAAGCCCTGGGATATTGTGATTAAATGTCTGAATGCTACAATGTAGTGAAGCCTGGATATCTGCGTAGAGGGACCACTGTGACCCTTCCACCACGTACCTTCATCCATGCTCCACTATCCACGTGGCCAAGAAAACCAGCCCAGTTCACAGGCCCATGTTCTGAAAGAAATCAAGACTGACTCAAATCAGACTGTGGGCGGGAGCTCTAGTGAAAGAGGAGAAGACGGCCCACGGCGCTAACTGCCCCTGTGCAGGTCATGGATGCTAACCCTCACGACCGTGACGCCCGCCAGCTCAAAGCTTTGAAGGGCTGGTCAATAAGTATTTTTTGAATTAATAAATAAGGCAGTGATTAAATGTGGCAGACTGGTAAAAATTCATTGGCAAAACTGTAAAATAATGTTCCTTTGTCCTTTCTTTCACAGCCTCTTTTGGAAGTCTGTCTGGAAGGCCCAAAGCACTTAGAACTTACTTGGAATCATCAACCTGAGAGATTTCTTGTTCCTGATTCCAGCTTATCTACAGAGGGGAAGGAAGTTCTGTTTCATTTCTCTGTCTCCCACTGGGCCTAATAAGGAAGCATCCAGGAAAGGACTGGGGGACAAAACATAACACCCCTGTGAAATCCACCTGAAAACCTCCAAATCTGCGCCTCTTCCCTGCCCCTGGTAACTGCCTTGGCTCAGCTACTTACTGCCTGTGGCCTGGGCTCCTGCTGGGCCTCCTAACTGGTCTCTCTGTGGCTTGTCTGACCCTGTCTAGTCTATTTTCCATTGCCGGAGACTCTGACTGGATTCTAAAATCCAAATCTGATCTCTGACTCTGAAAACTTCTGGAATGCCAATGGCTCCTCCTGAGTGTGCACCTTGCCCCTGGAGGCCCAGCTTGGCAAGTTACTTCCTTTCCTAAGCCTTAGCCTCCAAATCTGCAGAAGGGAGCTAGTATAGCAACTGTATCTTAGAGTTGCTCAGAACTAAATTAGAAAAGGCACAGAAGCAGCTAGCTTTTAACATTTATTAAAGCAGTAGATATTTAATAATAAATACATTGTAAGTACTCCCTGCTTCTCCAAAGTTCACTTTATGCCACGTTATCTTTAAGAGAGAACTATATAGTTGTTTCACTAATGAAAGAACCGTAAAGAGAATTTTCTCTTTCATGAAAAAAATTCTGAATAGCAAAAATAGTGTCATTTTGTTTTGCAAAGAGTTCTAGTAGAGGCAGGTCGCACCCCAGGCAGCCGGAGCGGCACCACCGAGCTCCGTCCCCGGGGACCGCGCCCGCCCGCGGCATGCTCTGCGCGTCCATTAGCGAGATGCGCCCTAAGGCGCGGCTTCTCCGCTCTGTGCCATCTGGCTCTGGAAGGTTCCACAGGAGCGCTCTGCTCTTAGGCAGCGAGGCACCTGCTGCCAGGCACGGGCACTGGCCCAGGCTCCGGGAGGGCGGGCTCTGCGGGGCCTCGCCCGGGAGGGGGCTCGGCTGGGGAAGGGCGCCGGCCTGAAACCTGGGGCTCTGCCCTTTGGGGCACGGGACAGACAGGGTGCAGGATGGCCCTGGGGCTGGCGAGGGACTGGCCGTGGGCGCGGAAGGTGTCGGAGCCGGCTGTCGAGCGGGGGAGACGGAGGGGGAGACCGCCTAGGCGCGGGTCGTATTTGCCCTCGGCCACGACGCGGAGAGGGCGCGGGTGGCGCGAGCGCGGGGAAGCGCAGGAGAGGAAGGGGCACCTCCTCGCTGAATCAAAAAGGCCCACGGGCCCCTAGTCCAGGGCCCTTCAGGAGCCTCCCCGGACGCCCCACGCCCACCAAAACCGGTGTCCCCGCTCCAACTCGCCCTCTGCCCCGGCTCCGTGGTTTCCCTCGCTCTCCCCCACCTGGGACCTGGCTGAACCCGTCCCGCCCGACCGGAGCCGGCT